AGGGTTATTATACTACTAAAGAGTACATGACTGATAATAACCCCTGGGAATGAGGTGATCATCACCATGCTTTTTCTAAATGTTTTCATAACAATTGTATAAAATATTATATTGTAAATTGTGCTTTTTAAAAAAAAAGTCCCGCTGGGTTTCTTGCTGGTTCTTCCCAGTAGAGATTTTTTTGCGAACCAGTGGTAAAAGTAAAAAATTACTTTCAACAATATATTATGTATCTATATTGAATAAAAATGATTCTATTCTATCCTATTCTAAAGAGGCAGTCATTAATAGATATAAATCACGCCTATGAAGTAGTGAAATAAAATCTTGAAAACCATTTTTATTGTTGAGATGATTTTTTTATCGTGTGGGGTGTCGTTGGATAGGTCTTTCAAAAATATTGTGGATATGGAACGACATTTTTTTCGATTCAGGTCCATTTACAAAATATTTGACTTTTAAAGTGGTGTTTTTTTTAGAGTCATGGCTCCCGCCTCGCATCCTACACACCATTATAATGAAGTTAAAAGGAATACTACCACAGTTAAGTAGGCAACGAGAAATACGAGTAATAGTAAACCAACTTTTGAAAAAAATGCACTTGGATTAGTAAAAATTTCGTTACAATTTCATAGAAAACGACCTAAAACTAACTGCATTATAACTTTGTAATGTTATATTAATATTGTTTTTTGTAGTATAAATATTGTTTGTGGTATTATTACGCGCTTCTTTAGTAATTTTGATTTACGCGGGCGACCCTCAGGATAGTTAAGGGATAGTAGTGGTTTAGGGGAAGGTTCGATACGCTCATGTATATCTTTTGGTTGCACTGCCGGGAACTAATAGACGGATAGGAAGTTATGACCATTTTGTACTCTTTTGTATTTTTAAAATTGAAAAGTTTTTTTTTTTATATAAGTCTACTTGGAAAAAAGTCCTTCAGTTACCATCGTCCAATTTTATCAAGAAGGCCCCTTCTAAGTTCACGTATTGTGACGGGCAAGTACGGAACATTCCCCACATTGTCCTTGACCTGACACGCATTTGGCCGGTTTTAAACGCATGAATACAATATTTGATATAGGTATTTGATATAAATTCTGGTATTGATCACCTAATTTTCAAGGGGTTATTATCAGTCATATTTTCTTTAATATTAATATTACTCTTATTAAACATTAATCTTGCTTAATTAAAGGTTATAATATTATCCTCCAGATCTAATTTGGGTGACAGCGGCCACTCGTAACGGCGGCTATAGACATTTACTAGGATTGTTGGAATTAATTTTCTATTATATTTTTTTAGTAGGATTATTGAGCACGAGTGTGTGTGCAAACACAATGGCACTCTTTATTTCCTCCGAGTCCAAATCCGATAGGACGGCAACCCGACACAATCGGAGAGAGTTCAGGTATAGGATAAGCGGCTTAATGTGCTTTCTAAGGCACGGAAGTGAAACACCACCAACTTCCAACTCAAGACTATTACTTAGAAAGACTATTTCAGGAAAGAAAAATCCAATAACTGATTTTTAGCTTGGCGCTGGATTCCAACCTGGGACCACATAGTTACTAGTCGGTCTAACGACCACTAGACCAACGAGGCAGTAAAAGAGAGGTTATTAATCTTGTGGCAGCCTATTAATTTCATCTGTAGTTTACCGGATTTTTCTTATTGGTTGGTTTGACATGTCCTTGTATGCTATTTTAAAGATGACTCATCAGAATTTCCTTCACGACAAAATACATAGTATCAGCGTCGACAGCATTAATTTGTAAATATTGATATCGATAGATTCAATTTAATCTTAGATCGAATTGAGATTACTTATGTATGGCAAGCGCTCAGCATGTCGTCTAAACAGTTGCAAGATACAAAGCACAGACTAACTAGTAGATTCTAATACAGTGTCTTTCTAAACACGTACACCTACATGTGAAAGCAATGTCAAAGCCTTATTAATACGTTAATTTGAATTTGGAAATCTGAACATAAAGCAGAACAGAATATCGAACTTCAAATATGTAAGCTGGCTAGTTATTTTATATAAAACGAAAAAATAGTGCGGCCGCCGAGAGTAGTATGCGTTCTTGACACATATCAATTTCACATGACTAGTCATACTTAGTTACAAAATAAGGAAGGACTATATTTACGGCAATCAGTAACAATATATTTTTTACAACTGACCGCGTAAAAAGTATAAGTAAGTTTTATAGTTTCACTTGTTCCCCTGACATGTTGTTACTTATAAACGTTAAAAATGCGACAGTAATAAATGAAATTGTTTATTTTTTTTAAAACATACATATATCTATCCACTGCTGACCATAGGCCACCATAGATTGCCTCTTAGAAAATATTTGCCATAGGTTCTGAGTTTGGTTGGCGGTTGGATTTATTATCAAAATCAGATGCTGCTGCCTACATCCAGTCGTATTTCTCAGTTTCTCACTGTCGTCTTATACGATACTACGGGACGTGTCCACATAAAAGTTGTCACGAAAGCGGTCATACACGTTGACTTCGATCTTCGATCCAAACGGTTTGCTACATCGTTCATCATGCGTACAGAAAAGTGGTGGAATAAGTTGCTAGCATCTGTGTTTCCATCCGATTACAGTACAGTTTAGGTGTCTTCAAGGCAACAGTGAATAGGCTTTTGTTAAGTCAGTCCGATTTACCATCTTAGGCTACATCACCACTTACCATCAGGTGGTATTGTAGTTAAGCGCTGGCTTAGAATTATAAAAAAAAAACTACATTTAGTTTATATATATATATATATATATATATATATATATATATATATATATATATATATATATATCTTAAATTAACTCGCTTACATTATGGATTACAAATAACAAATATTTTGTACTGGTGAACGAAACATATTACACTGATAATACACAATAACTAAAATAGTTCAGAATTGAGAATTATAAAACGAATTGTAATGAACAAAAATGTGCGGTTTATCGAAGTAAACACTTGCACAAGCACAAGGATAAGCTTCGTTATTTTAGCCGCTTCCGGGATATAAGTTACATGCAATGACTTAACAATATTAATTTCATAAAAAAGTTTTGATATGTAGATTACATATAATATAATAAAAACTTTTTACTTAATTTAAATATGTTTAAAGTTCTGAGGAACTTCAAAATCTACACCGATTTGCAAAACAAGATCTCAGAGAACTGGCAAGAAACCAGGGTATCTTTTTGTCATGTTAAAATTTCAATTATCGCCTTATTCTGCGGATTTTTTCCACTTTCACAATTTCTGCACTTACCTCGCTATGCAACAGCAGCGACTACCCTCCTTCGCCTTCTTCCTTAATCCAGGCTGGAAATTCATATGTCTACGCTTTACATTGCTCTAGTTCTTATAATATATTGTACCTACTAATCTAGGGGTCTAGCCTTACTGGAGTGACTTGTATGTAATATAAAATACATAAAGAGCATGAGGAGAGACCCGTGAGGGCGGCTACGTGGCGCAGTGGCTTAGCAATGAGTTACTGCGCTAAGAGAGCCACCGGTTCGAATCCCACACGGAACAAGTATTTGTATAGCCTACAAATAATTGTTCTGGGTCCGGATGTTTGTCCTTGTGAAATTTATGTATTTAAACTGCTCCCACGATACAGGAGAAAATCCTAGTGTGGAGGTATCGTTTAAAAAAAAACCACGAATATAGAGGCAGCTCCCCGGCAAACAGTATCTCGCCCTCAACCCTAAAGGGAGACTAGACAACGGTTATTTGCATGTATAGCTTCTGTAGCCCGGGACTGAAGGTCGTTTTTTAGATATGCAAAGGTGCTTGGGCTAGGGGCCAGAAGAGAACTTTGCTAAACTCCGTATTAAGTCTCTGCGGTACTGACAGGCGATTCATAGAGCTCATATTTTGGAGGTGCCAGGAACTAGGAGCACCTAGTGATAAAACTGACACCCTGGGTAGTAAAAAAAAATTTTACAAAAAGATGCTGCAGTTGGCTAAAATCATTCAAAATATAAAAAAATATTTTGAAATGTTTCATTTTATTGATTAGTTCAGTAACAACCCTAACTAGGTTACATTTTTAGATTTTGGGGCACCTTTAGTACATAGGTAGATACCAATTTTGCAGTTACATGCATTTTCCAATGTTGTTGTAGCCCAGGCCTTTTCAAGAATGGGCTCGCTGGCATAATTTTTTAAAATCTGAAGCCGATACCTTTAGTCTGTTCGCTAAGATAGTGTCGGTATACCCGGAGGCGCACTTATTATTTTGCTATTATTTTTTATTGTTTGTTAAATAAATGTTTTTCTATTTTAGGAATTAAATAAAATACTATTTTATTTTTATGAATATTGTAATAAAGTACGAATATAAATAGTAAACACAAGTTAACTTTCACAGCAAGGAAACTTTCACTACGGCGCTTAGTTTTAAAATGCCAAATTCTCCTGCCGGTGTACGGTCGCACGCGGCAATCTTTGATATCGCGGCGGTGCCTTTGATAAGATACAGCACGTGCTAAGGCGGCGCGACACAAAGGCGACCGCATCTAAGCGAACAGACTATACTGCCCCATTTTTAGTTTGTAGCTTTTTATTCTACACTCTTGTAGGTATCGGTAATCGAAAGAAAAAGAAAGTAATATTAATAAGTAGATACCTACTTACTATGTTTTATTTTTTTTTTCCAGGAAAGCATTATACATCCATCCATTACAGCTTATAAATAACCGCTGCTGATCATAGGCCTCCCCTATAGATGGCCTTATAAGGGGGATTTTGTCTTAATTCCCACAGTTGGCAACCGCAGTTTTTAATCGAGTCGTTATCAGAAAGGTGCTGCTGTCCAACTCCTGGTTCAGTTTCTTTTGGTCGCCTCTTACGACACCCATGGGACAATATAGGGTAGTGCATATTCTTACCGTGTAGTGGCGGTAAAAACATTATAGACACTGATATTATAATAATACACATTTTGTCCTCAGAAAATGGGCAACGTGATATTTTCGTTAATCTGGCTCCTCGTCCTTATATTCGTAGCATTTTGGATTGCGGGGATAGCAGCCGGCTTTTACATAATTATTCTGCCCTTTACAGTGTGTATAGAGGCATTATCGGTTAGTATTTACTTTAAATTTATTTTATCATATTTACCTTCTTGTGCTGAGTGGCTCGAATAATCCCGTGGAAATTGTAATCTCAATAACGCAAACCCATAACATTTCTATCTATGTCTATATCTAGATATAGACTTTATCTCCCTCTCTCTATCTTTCTTTGTCTAGAGAGAGAAAGATGAAGAGGGAGCACCCAAGTATTTCTTAAATTGACGTCGATTTTTATGGGTAAGGACATAGTACCTACTTTTTTTTGCACTAATAACATAGACTTCATAAGCCCGTAAAAGTCCACTGCTGAACATTTTTTTTTATAGGGTAAGGGTGACACAGCCCACCTGATGGTAAGTGGTTGCTGTGGCCTATAGACATCTACATATATCCTCGATTTCGAATCAAATTGCAGATGCGTTGTCACCCGTGAGGACTAAGATGGAATGCCACGTTTCCAGTAAAAACGGTCTCCGTTTCTCTACACTCACCATACGAAACACAGCAGCGTTAAGCTGCTATTTTATGCTGGTCTCTCCCCGGTCTAGCCGACCCATTAGTGCTACAACTATATCAGATATATATATGGTTGTAGCATTGTTCTACCAAGTATAATATAGGCCTTCTCCTTTCGTGGGAAGGATTAAACTTAAACGTCATGCTCGGCAGGCGGAATGACGATCGCATTACCGACGTCTTGCCTCGTTGACGCTGCCCCTCGACGCCGATCTTAATATTTATCACAGATTTATACTTAGCGTCAAGATATGGTTATAGCACCATATATCGAAAGCCATAACACTCGTCTGGCTTTTCTCATAGTAGCCTTTTATGAAACCCACGGGAAGAAATGAGATGATAGATTTTCTGACACCGTCAATTTTATAAAGCTCAAATGCTGGAAAATATTGCTTTTCTTGCCTTTGTACTAAGGAATGTGTATGTCAAAATGGGATCTCTTGACCTCATATCAAGAACTGTTAGTTTTGGGATCATCGTTTACGTTAACATTTACCCTTAAATAATACAGCTTATAAGCATCTTGGCACTTCCACCACATTAATTAAAAGCAAACGCAGAAGTACGAAAAAACAGGACACCTGAGGTAAAAATGCCGCCTCTAACCCACCTTCCACTTTTGCAAGTACTACTTAAGCGCCAACGTATTACTTAAAAATGCATGAAACACATATACATACATATATTAGCGCCATGCTCCACTCTCGCTATGTACTGATTGTTCATGATCGATGTAATGGATAAATCTATGATCGCATCATTTATACTTATGGTCGCTAAGGTAACAGACTACTTATCCCTAAATGCTGTCCGGGACCATGTCCAGAACTCTCTAGTCTAGTCTCTCTCTCTCCCAGATAATCAGGACCAATCAATCCACTATGTATACAAAAATCGAATGCATATAAATGTTCTATACTTTTAGATTCTGCTCTTGCTTTTTCTATTACATATATTTCTTACCCGGAGTACCTACAAATTGGAACACTCACGTGTGCCTCGGGCCGAATTGCGTCAAAGGATACCTGTTCTCAATGCCCCGGCAGTCTTGACCATTCTTTGGCTTTGGCTGGGCCTGTCCATTCTTTGGCTGCGTGAAGATTGTGGAAACAGACAGACTCATCGACCACGTCGAAATGGCTACAGATTCAGTGCCACAACAGATCCCATCTGTAGAGATGGTGATCCTTGACGATTTCAACGCCCACCACGCTGAATGGCTCGGTTCTCGTTTAACTGGTTATGCGACACAACTAGTTATATTTCACCCACGCGGATTCCATAATATGTGGAGGAGTGCGGCATTAATTTTTATTAGTAGTTATCTACTCTAAATACTGCTTTTATAAATACGGAAACTGGTTAAACGGACTACAAATTAAACTTAACTTGATTATTACTAAATTTGTTACTCACATTTATGGATCACTGGTGTCCGATGAATAAATATTTTTATTTTGTTTATTCAAACTTTCATTCGAAAAAAGATCAGAGTTAGCTACAAGTAGCTTTTTTATAGTTTGGGTGACATTTCATCAACACAGTCCATCTAATTATAAGTTGATGCTTTAGCCCATCTAAGTACATCAATTCTCGATTACATCTACATCAATCCTAGAGTAAAAATCAAAATGCAGTGCGCTGTCACCCTTAACGACTAAGATGGAATGCCCCGTTGCCAGTAAAAAGGGTCTCCTGTTCTGTACACTCACCATACGAAACACAGGTGTATTCTGTGAGACCGTGGTCCTACCTCGTTCAAGTCGACCGATTCGTGCTGCAGTCACAATATAGTAGCAGCAGCATGTTCAAAGAAGTTTTACTTAAAAGTATTATATTCCTCAGACATGCAGTTTTCCTCACATGTTTATTTTTTTATTTTTTGTCATGCAATTATTATGTAAATCAGCACTAAAACTTGCAATTAGCAATCTCCTTGGTGTCGGCGGGATTGAACCCGGATTTCTCGCGTAACGCGCACTGTGAAAATTAGTATGAATTACCTAATAACCAAAAATTTATTTTTAAGTATGTTTATTAATTTAAAAGTTTGAGTTGTTTGCGCAATTAAAGCGTCTTTTTTTGTTTTCTTTCAGGGTTTAACTGATTTCTTATTATCAGTAGTACAGTTTCCGAAGTACTGCGCTCAAGCGATGGTGGACGGAAAAGGATTCGATTAATTAATTTCTAGTTAATATAAAGTTTTATTATGATACCCGATAAGCATTTTTAAGTTTTTTTTAAAAATATGAATATATGTTTATTAATGTGAATATTTGTATTTAAATTACTAGTGGATAAGAGTTATTAAAATATTTTTTTTGTAAAATTGATTTATTTTTGCGCTGCCATCCTAGTTACCTAAGCCAATTATGAATCTTTTATCTTTCTCATTAGAATCACTTATCTGAAATAAATTAACAATTCTTTAATATAACAAGTCTACATATTTTAACCCTTGCTTCTGTTTCCAAGAAAACCATTATAGTCAAAGCATAGACAAAAATATCTGACAACTTAGGGTAACAAAATATAGAAAAACAAGTAATATAAGTAATATAAGCAAATCTACGTCAAAAGTTCATCGCTAGCTCATCGTTAACTCGTCAATTACTGAGACATTCTACTAGTTACAGAGACTCGTTAAGTAGTTTTGAGCCACCTGCATTCATCAACTTCCTGCACCTCTTACCAAGTCGTGGGCCACGCTACATTTCGCGAATTTACTTTTTTCCCCCACCGGTTGCCTTTTTAAACTATATGGCCAGCCAATTGCCACTAACTCTCTGGTCCGTTCAGCTACACTCCATGGCATTATGGTGACTATTTTCTTGTAGGACAAACTGCCTGATTATTAAAAACACACGTTTACGCATCTTCTTGTCACGTACACCTCAAATTTGAAATAATGTAATGGATGTAAAATGTGGTACTTCACTGTTGGTCGTATAAGGAAACTACAGGTCACTTAGCAAGGTATGGATAGGGAAGTGCTGCTCGAAGTTTCTCCGCATGATAGACTTCAAAATGAGGATATCTGCAGTAGAATCAGTGTAACCAATATCATCACGCTACTTTAAATTAATTCTATATATCCACATCATACAATTTCAGATGCCTCGAAAATGTAAAAGAAATACAGGATCATGACTGATAGGAGGGATTCTTCAAAATAAATCTTAAAACCAGTATTCGTAAACATGAGTAGACTAGTACAAACAGAATTGACGGATTTGAGGCCTTTAACGATGAATTTAATTACACCATACTCTAGGTTCTTACTAACCCAGCACATTAAAATAATGCTCCTGACCAAAGTTATTAGGTTTTTAAGTGACTCCAATTCCCCCCCGTGCTCTCAGACTTTAGAAACTGACCTTTTTTTAAATGGGGAAAGGCCTACGCATAAGAATCCACCTCGCGAGGACAAGGATGGGTTAGGTTGGACTCGCACCGACTAAAACCCCCATGGTATTTCACAATCGCCGCATATTGGCAGGGCCACGAGAACTCTTTTGCACACATCCGCGGCTACACCAGCGCCGACCGGTCCCTTGACGGCCACTCCTCAAGTAAAGCACATCTCCCCTCCAAGCACACGAGCACACGGAAGCACCCGCTTTCCTGATCTAAGCGGCGGATCTAGTCTATGACTCCTGACATTTCGGCCACACAATCCTCTCCACCCTACGGTTCCATCACTCTCGCATCAGCGTTGCGCCCCGCCAGAGCCGCAGAGAATAGAGCAACTGGCGCATCGCTATACCAACACTCCCATACCCCCCCTCCCCCCCCCGACTCTCTGCGGAGGTAGGGGGAAAGGACACCTCTCGCCGCAGCCTACCAACACGACCTCCTACACTAGTGACTAGGTGGGAACCAGTTCTGACTCCAGTACCTACCTGACCTAGTATCATTTCGCGAATATTAGTATACTATATAATACTACATTCAGTGTTAGTGTCTCCTCTCGAGTTCTGTTCTGTTGAATTTGCAGGCTTTTGTACTAATAAAATAAAGTGATCTCTTCCAGGCAACCTTTGCGTAAACAAGTGATGAAAATAATTATTATAATAGAGGGGGAGTACGAAAAATAAGATATATAGGTACTATAAATACATATAAATATATATAAGTACAAATGATAGTGGCCAAAGTATAAAAACGAAAAATAAAGTAATTTATATTTAAATTACATATTTTAACAACTTTTGAGAGTACATTAAATTATGAAATTTAGCACGACGGATGTGGAGGTAAATAATTCCACAAGCGCACAGCAGTAACAGAAAGAATTTCCAAATGAATGAGGAAGAGTGCACAGGAGTAGAGAGAATGATTGGAGAAAGGTGTATTGCACATACATATGATGCTTATGCCGTCTTATTATTTTAAAATTTTAATTTTTTCAATTCAAAACCTATTATAGGTCACAGTTTATATAAAATTTAATTAAAATCAACAAATACCTATTAAATAAAAAAATTCAAATTACAAAGGACACATCATATTTAATTAAACTTGTTAAAAGTACATATTATAATAATAGCTAAAAAATAAAAATACATATTATGGCGGTTTCTAGGCCCTGCCTTTCAATTAACTAAATCCATTGGTGCACACTCAATTGACCAATAATTTAAGAACTTTAAAGACAAAACCGAAACAAATGAAACTTAACTTACTGTACCTAGTTTTCTTCTACAGTTTTAAAAAACATTGTTTTCATCTTCTTTATATATATAATTCTTTTGTCCGTGTATATGTGACTAAACTCCTCCTTAATTCGAGAATAGTTTAGATTCACAACTGCGGGTCCAATTGAGAATCTAGGTGGCGCTGTTATCAAGATCCAGCTATCACACGTGCGAAGCCGATCGGATCGCTATTATTTTTATATAATGGCAGCCTTATAAAATGTAACACAAAAACAAACGAAAATAACATAAAACGAAATACTAAACTGATAATAATATTTAAAAAATCTGTCATGACGCCTTTGCATACATTATCACGATGGCTTATATATATTATACGTGGCTACGTGTTTAATGATTGGAATAAATTGTTTTAAAAAAATATTTAAATAGCTACATTTACTGTGTGATATAAATTTTAAAGTAAACTGGTTATGTTAAGTAGTTCATTAAAAAAAGATGTGATTGTCACGAGATGTTCACATTACGTGTGAGTATAATTTCGTATCATGTTTACCTTCCAAAAATACAAACATTTTTACACAAAATATTTGCTTAATTATAATTTAAGACAAACTTAAAATAGCATTTAAGTTTGTAACCAGAATAAAACTATTCTCTTATCTTTGTACGTGATACATAATTGTTTCAACAGTTTCACGAAGTATGTTAGCTTGTTTTTCGCATTTTGCCATAAGAGCCCTGAAACAAAGAAATATTCAAGGATTTGCCAGCAATAATGTTATTGGATTACTATTAAATATCTTACCTGTATTCCTTCAAATCAGTTTCTTCTAACTCGATACCTTCAATTTCTGATTTTAAAATCGATGCTATATTATTATCTGACGTCTCCGCGTCTCTTTTGTATATACTAAAACATAAACATATGACAATTTGAATACATACTTTTAATTAGTGTACAGTTCTAAGTCTAGGTTCGCGCAGTTGTTGCCCATAAATCACATTCAATTTGGGATAATTTCAAATAAAAGTAGAAGCCATATTTACTCGTATTTTGAAAAACTGCAATAACGGTGTATCAATATTTATGTATATATTTGAACTTAAGGTTAAAATCTGGCTACTCTTTGAAAAATAACTCTGTATATAGTACATACTACATGTAAAATACTCAAACCGGCAACTTAAAGCAATACAAAGTCGACACATCTGGTATCGCCAATCCCTATGTCGTGCAATTTACTGCTATGAGGTTGGCTTATGTCCAGTAAGGACTGTTTGCAGGCTGATAAGGAAAACTTAAAGAAAATTTAGTAAATAACTTCTATTCTGGGATATTTAAAAGTTACAGCCTACAGGTTTTAGGGAAATGAAATGTCCCAAAATACACATATCTTCAAAATATTTATGTTCCTCTATTTCTCAGATATGCAGGTTTCCTCAAGATGTTTTCTTTCTCCGCCGAGCACGTGGTAAATCAGCACTTAAAATTGCAATTAACACTCATTGGTGCCGGCGGGAGCGACAAACCCAAGTTGCTCGCGTAGTGTGAAATTTACAGCGAGCGCTTAGCCCCTGAATTACCACTTCTGGGATATTTACTAATAATAAAATTCCTACAATCATATTAATTTTGAACTAAACGCAGGTTGCACGTCAAGTAAGTTTACATGTAGTATTAGATTCTTTGCGCTGATATGCTAGAAATTAGTCATGTAGTTTAAAATAAATGACGCGTACCTATTTAGGGCACTACAAAGTTTATTTATATGAGAATGTGTCTGTTTGGCCTTTATTAGTATTTCAATGTGATTCTTTTCGGGTTCAGAGGTCAGTCGCTTCTGTGACTCTTCACTGCAATCATAAAATAAAAAATAAAGGTGTAAATAAGTTTAAAAATAAGCAATGTTTATTAACACCATATTAGAGGATGATAAAAACATTAAATTTTCATTGATGTTACAGCCTATTCTATCGAGTTTTATATATATCGCAGTTCATATTTCCAATTCCATACAATAAATTGATGACAAAAATTTAATGCACACAATATTTGTGCACAAATCGAAAATTATAATCTATTTAGTATGAAACTTAAATACATCGACACAGAATTTTTATTTAATTCAAATACATATATTTTTAGGATAAATTTTCAGCATTGTTGCAAAGGACTTAAATTTACTCTTAGCTGCAATTTTATAAATTCAGAAATAACATTTTTGAAGTGTGCAGAAATGTGCAAAAATATTTGTAGATTTTGTATTACATATAAACTCTAAACAACTAAGGTTTTAAGGACAATTTAGATTTTCTTTAATCACCTAGATAAACCAATTTAAATAGATTTTGTCACGCAATAAACTAAAAATATATTCTAGATAGTAATAAATTAAGAGTCAATAATAAATATTTTGCTTGAAGTACATACCAAAAAGCATAAATAACGAGAAAAGTCTCCCTTATTTCGCGTAAACTTCTACGAATAATCGGTTTAAACTTATGTTTTCCATTAACATTTAACGGTATGTTGTGTCCATTTTCAGCAAGACATTCAGTTCCATTATCATTTTCTATTTCATCGTAAATGTCATATTCATCTTGAGATAAATCGTCGTCTTCCATATATTCGTAATCTAAGCATGGCTCAGTAATGTTATGTAACTCATCCAGTCCAAACGTCTCTTTTTCTTTATTTTTAAGTTTTTCTTCAAATTCTAGACATTTAGTGAAATTTCTAATAATCTTTGGTTCACTCACTTCCATTTGTATTTTTGATTTTTCTTCATTTGTTATGTTTTTGTCATTTGACTCATTTTTGTTATCAAATATTAATCCAGTGGATCGTATTGGTGGATCACATGATGGCGTATGAGGTTCGTTAACAGGAGATACTTCATTTTCATTGGCTTCATTTCTCTTTTGTAGATTCAAGCTTGAGAAAAAGGTAGTCTCTGGATCTGTTGTTATAAACCGAACCTCACTCTCATACTTATTTCCCTGAGAAAAAGAAACATTTTTTTATTTAAAATAATTATAAATATATAATTACTTTTTGAGTATATTTTTTCGTACTTTAATTGTCCTCTTCCACAGTGAACGTAGATTATATTTCAGTGGAGAATCCAGTGACTTAGTACAAGACCTTTTATCTGACGAATAGAGATCACCTCTAAGGGCAGCGGGAGAATGTTCATCAATCTCTGGCTCTGTAAATAATCATTCGTGATTATTTAAATTATTTTTCTTAAACATAATCTAATCCTCACTTAGTAAAATCGGTAAAGATTCGTGAAATTGCATTACATAAAATATTAAAAACTATTCAAATTCCAAACTACATACACGCTCTTTTTAAAGTCATTTAACTTATGAACCAAAAATGCACACCTCTAGAACTTTCGTAATTAAAATGATCGTCGCTTTCCCGTAAATCCTAGCGACTTAACGGTGTTGAAAATGTATATATAACGTAAACACTGCCTATTACGGAAATATTGATTCCGTGTGATTGATGATTCTATTGTATTTATGATAAAGCATATCTGACGGTTGAAAAATCAACCCTTAGTTAAATTGAACATCTTTAATTTTTCTTTCTTTTTTAATTTTTCAATTTTGATTTACGCGAAGTACCTAACACTTGATAGTTTTCGTTAAGCTTTGTTTAAGCATTAATTTGGATGCAGGAGTTAAACTAAAGGTCTAGCCGACGAAACATCCGGCTGATTAAATATTATCCATAGCATATTTATGTCGCATAGAACTGCGACATAAATAGGCTATGGATAATATCCGTCAGAGGCCACAAAATCTCCGCTTACTACACGTATAGGAGAAGCGAGTGATGGATTTCCTTATTACTCTACACACAAAGGCAAAAAATTAGAATACTTGCCTGTATTATCAACATAACTTTTATCTGAAACAACTTCGTCTTCTCTTGAAATATCAGCAAAAGAGTCGTTATGACTAGTGTCTGCATTTGGATTTTGAATATCGCTTAATAATTTCGCAAGCGATTCAGCAGCTGTTTGAAGATCTTCACTGTTGCTGTTTGCAGCCTAATCAAAAATTAAGGGACATTACTCAAATCGGCATATGAACATGTATGCCACTTATACAATAAACACTAATTATTTATTTTTACGTTTTACATATCAATTGTTACAATCGAACGGATATTTCGAAATCTTGTAAATAATTTAGAAGAGTGGATTACAGCTTTGTATTTATTTTCGGTGCCATATTTGAACGACAACATCATAAAATACTTAGTTATATAAATTATTCTTCTTGAACAATTAGTACTATTCATTTTGACTAGTGGTCGAAATTCGACCATAATTCATAATTTTTTTTAATATTTTAACTGCACATTTAAATATAGACAAAACTACATTTATGATTTCTTATCTAATTAATATAAAATATAACTAATAGTACAGAAGGAAACTTCAAACTTCCTCGCTATGAAATATGTCAAATATTACACCTTATTTTTAAGTGGCGCCTCTCTGGTGGCAGAGAAAGTTGTGGATGCCCTCATTAAAACCTCAGATTGAAATGTAGTGAATATATACTCTTTAGCCACAATCTCTACGCCGTGCAACTCCGTTAGACTCAAGACCTCTCAAGACTATTAAGCGTCTCCCACACACAAGCGGCTTGCGGTGGCGGCTAACCGCGGGCCGCGGCTGCAGCCGCTGTAACAACACACCACCGCGGCCCAAGTGGCGGCCTGAAGCGCCATTCGCTGTGGTGTCTGTGCTACGATCGGACGTCAGTAAATATGACAAACCGTGACAAAGTCTTATTATATTCAGCAATATTATCATACATTTTGTTTTTAATACTAATGCTTTTGTAATCACGATGCGAATTATCATAAAGTACTGGATAATTTTGCACTGTTTCTATTAAAATTTCTGAATTTAGCACCATTTTTCACGCGGTACACACGGCCTGTTGTAAAAATTTACAACTGACCGCGCTGCAGCCACCGACTGACCGCGTACTCGCTAACACACACGCGTTGGCAAATGGGGCGGAGCATGCGGCCGCGGCCAGCCGCTCGCAGGCCGCGCCATGGCCGCATGGGTTTGGAGACTCACTTACGTTGTAAGCGAATACAACTGGCCGCCACCGCAAGCCGCGGCTTCAGCCGCTGCAACAACATACCACCGCAGTCGCAGCGGCGGCCTGAAGCACCATTCGCTAAAGTGTCTGTGCTACTATTGGACGTCAGTAACATGACTAACAGTAGCGAAGTCTTATTATATTCAGCAATATTATCATATATTTTGTTTTTAATCCTAATGCTTTTATAATCACGTTGCGAATTATCATAAAGTACTAGATAATTTTGCAGTTTCTATTAAAATCTCTGAATTTAGCACTATTTTTTACGCGGTACACGCGGCCTGTTGAAATAATTTGCCGCGTGACCGCGCTGCGGCCACCAACTGGCCGCGTACTCGCTAAAGCGTCTCCCACACACAAGCGGCTTGCGGTGGCGGCTAACCGCGAGCCGCGGCTCCAGCCGCTGCAACAACACACCACCGCGGTCGCAGCGGCGGCCTGAAGTGCCATTCGCTGAGGTGTCTGTGCTACGATTGGACGTCAGTAACATGACTAACCGTGACTAAGTCTTATTATATTCTGCAATATTATTATATATTTTGTTTTTAATCCTAATGCTTTTGTAATCACGATGCGAATTATCATAAAGTATTGACTAATTTTGCACTGTTTTTATTAAAATCTCTGAATTTAGCACCATTTTTCACGCGGTACACGCGGCCTGTTGTAAAAATTTGCAACTGACCGCGTACTCGCTAACACACACGCGTTGGCATAAGGGGCGGAGCATGCGGCCGCGGCCAGCCGCTCGCAGATCGCGATATGGCCGCACGGATTTGCAGACTCACTCACATTGCAAGCGAATACAACTAACCGCCACCGCGGCCGCCACCGCAAGCCGCTCCTGTGTGGGAGACGCTTAACACACACGCGTTGGCGGAAGGGGCGGAGCATGCGGCCGCGGCCAGCCGCTGGCAGGCCGCGCCTTGGCTGCACGAGTGTGCAGACTCACTTACATTGCAAACTAATACAACTGGCCGCCACCGCAAGCAATTTTCACAACAGGCCGCGTGTACCGCGTGAAAAATGGTGCTAAATTCAGAGGTTTTAATAGAAACAGTGCAAAATTATCCAGTACTTTATGATAATTCGCATCGTGATCACAAAAGCATTAGGATTAAAAACAAAATATATGATAATATTGCTGAATATAATAAGACTTAGTCACGGTTTATCATGTTTACTGACATCCGATCGTAGCACAGACACCACACTAATAGCGCTTCAGGCCGCCACTGCGACCGCGGTGGTGTGTTGTTGCAGCGGCTGGGGCCGCGGCTCGCGGTTAGCCGCCACCGCAAGCCACTTGTGTGTGTGAGATGCTTTATGTGTTTGACACTGACATTGACAGTATGAACGTAAACAATGAAAGTTTTAATTTATTTTAGCTTTCTGCACTCCTTCTCCATATAAACTTTAACTGTGGTAAATCTCACACTCCTTAGTGCGCGCAATATGCTTAAATAGGGGTACAAAATTTCTCTTCACATATTAATATATAGATTACTAATATTTACATTGTTATTGAACTATTTAGTTCTAAAACGTTTTAACATTGTTAATTATTCTTATTCAATCAACGAAAAAGGTAAGACAACATCTAAAATCTTAAAAAATCTTAAAAAAAAACAATATTATAATATCTGACGTTAAATGAAGCTGTTTATTAGCCTGTCGGAGAGTCTATAAAATACCCGGTTGGATTGAGGTGCAATGGAGGGTATATCGAGAAACTCCCACTTGTTTATGCAGTATAAAGTTCACTGTAGGTGCCGTGCGCGAGAGATTCCGCTTAAGTCATTCAACGAGTGTGGTCATTCGACTAGTGCTAAGATAGTGTCGTGGTTCTGTTCGTTGTTGTAATTCTTCTAGTGCAGGCAAGGAGAATTGGTGTTGCTGAGAGGCTGCCCAGTGTTACATTGAGATAAGTAGTGTTGCTGTTGGTTTACATATTTTGGTGTTATCATGTAATTACGTACCTCACGTTACACTGGTGTGTGATTGTGGCAGAGACGTGTTACGGTGTGGTCGAACTGTAATTTCACTATACTAAATGTATAGTGCGTTACGTTGTCTTATTACTGATAATGATAAATTGCGTAAGCAAGAGAGCAAGTTGAACATCCGCTCTCACACTTTTATTATTTTTAACAGTTAACGCTATCCTGATGTATTTCCGAGATCACAAGTGGGATCTCCTGTTGTCATTTCCGATATCAGAAGTGGGATAAAGTCCCTGTTATTGTCCACCTATAACATTTGAATAGTGTGAGGGTTATTATGTTGTCGTATTTACGACAGTGACGTATCATTAAAGTAAAATGTTTTAAGCCAAAAGTTAAATCTTTTTGTTGGGTTTATAATAAAAAGTACCCGCAAGTACTTTCATTATTTCTTAAGTCGAAAGAAATGTTGAAGGTATTCTAAATGAGTTATAGTTTGCATTCAGTGGAAGTTTAACTTGCTCAAGTTATGCTATAATTTGATACATGAGGTGTGATTTACATGGGCTAATTTTAAAGTTTAAAATGTTTAAACGATGTACCGAAAAAAAATGTTTAACTTTAACGTGCTATTAATTAAAAACACTAAGTTGTACTTCTGTGTTCTAATGTGTTGATAAGTGTTACAGTTTACTGCGAGTATTACGTAGTCGATAAAATTGTGATTTGATGTTAAGGGTCTAGTGGAGAGCGTGGTGCTGTGGCGCTCGCTCTTGAGTGGAAATATGCTGTCGGCTTATGACGCCGCGACCACGTTTGCCGCTGCTACCGATCACCATTTGATACATGAGGAAAGCAAATCTATTCCTAACATTGTCTTAAAAAATATTTTGTAAGAATAAGTGTTTACATTTTTAATCAGTTGCGAAAAATGCCGGAAAACCAAAGTATAACTGATGAAAGCTAAGTAGAGCAAATTAGTTCTGACATTGAAGAGAGTATTTAAGTTTACATGAGGATTGAACCATACCAGAGGTTGTCGTGTAGCTGCAGCTCAGTATATGGTGCCCTGGAAAGATTAGTGACCTGAGAGTACTGCTGCATTTTTTAGAAAAAAGTTCCTACTGAATCTTTTTAATGTTTTCTTTTGTGTTACAGTAGTACGTGTGATATGATTACATGTGCGCGAGCGTAGGCGATGGTGCCTTGCTGGTCGGAACGGACTGCCGGGTCCAGATGTAGCATGGCCTGGCTTCGGTACACGCGTATGCTGTACGCGTGACGGGTGATTTCCCGGAGCGCGCGTATGCTATACATGACGATGCCTCTGAAGTCGTGTACTCTATATGTGCGGAAGTCGTACTCTGTATGCGCGGAAGTCGTATACTCTGTGTGCGCAGTAGTATTTTCTAAACATGTATCAGGTTCTGTCCTGGCAGGCGCTGTCCTGGTCCACGTTTTTAACGTGGTTCACGTGGTTAACATGGGATCTCGCAAGTTCAAGAGTATGTGTGAGATACTTCGTATGGAGATGTATGCTTACTTGTGAAAGCGAAGTGATTTATTATAGTCCACGGTATGAGAGCGTATTTCTGTTTGAGGGCCTCGTATGCGTGATGGATGAGAGGATAGGCAGCTGTGTATGTTGTCCTGATAACTAACAACTTGTTTTTAACGCAGATCCCGATGACGGCAACCCCGAAGATGCCTGTGAACCCTCAGGTGCTCCTGCTGCTCCCGTTAACGCTTCGAGTGCGTGGTACGGTGCAGCGTCTCGCTGGCGCTGGTGAGATGCGACGGCTCGCTGTGCGAGTGCGGCACGCCCTGTGTGGTTGTTTTGACCGCATGAGCTTGCTTCATGGCAGCTAACTATGGCGTGTGCTGGTTTGTTTTAATAGCCACGAGCGCTTGCCTTACGCCTGCCGCAGAGGCGAGCAGTGAGTGACGTATTAACGTTTGCTGTGTCGGCATTCCCAGCGGTGTGCTGATGATAATACTGGTGAGTCGTACCCATTTTATTATGATTCTGGTGCCGAAAGAGAGAGCCTCATCAAAGATTGTGTTGCGCCAAAGTTTGGTGGCAAAATTGTAAATAATATTGTAAATTCAACCGGAAGTGGTCATGTTAGTGTGCAAAGTACCCCAAAAATACCCCCCATGATTATGTGAGGAAGATCCCCGATCACCAAGTGCCTCGAGAGTTAGATGTCATAGTTGATGACAGTGGAAGTGAGACCAAATTTGACTAAGAATGCTTGTATACTCATACTCAAAACTTTAGACCGCACCTCATGAGTAACATGTGGCGATGGGTCTGTAGGAAATCGTTGGTGCGATTTCTGTCTGTCTTGGTGCATATTTGGCGGCAGATATGTAGGGAATCGTTGGTGCGATTCTGGCATATGTGGCAGCAGATGTGTTGTAGCATATTTGGCGGTGGATATGTGGAGAATCGTTGGTGCGTTTCTGGCATATGTGACGACAGATATGTAAAGAATCGTTGGTGCGATTCTGGCCTGTGTTGGTGCACAGAGCCCCTCGTGTGTTGTAGCATATGTGACGGCAGATATGTGGAGAATCGTTGGTGCGATTCTGGCATATGTGACGGCGGATATGTAAAGAATCGTTGGTGCGATTCTGATCTGTGTTGGTGCACAGAGCCCCTCGTGTGTTGTAGCATATGTGATGGCAGATATGTGGAGAATCGTTGGTGCGATTCTGGCATATGTGACGGCGGATATGTAAAGAATCGTTGGTGCGATTCTGGTCTGTGTTGGTGCACAGATTTCTATGAAAGTTTCACGAGTTGAATATGCATTGCTTATGAATTGTAAAGAGTAAAAAAATTGTTAAAATTACTGTGGTGGAACTTGTTGATCGGACCTTTCACAATAAATCATGTTGTGCAGGAAGCACTGTGTATGAAGCCTTAAGGACAAGGCATTGTCAATTATGACAGTTGACTATTGTACTTAGACTTAGGAGAAGTAAAGTACAATTTGGAATCGACCTTGTTTCTATTGGCAGAATAGCCGAGCTAGATTAATCACTGAGCATATTTTGTCTTCAGGCACTGCAACCGAGGACGGATGCTAGTCAGGAATGGCCGTGTCGTGAATTGATGGCGCCATAGTGCAACAAGCAGCGCCATCTAACAATTAGTTTTCCGAACTAATAATATGTACCCACTCATGTCAGGATGGACGAGTGGACGAATTGTTGTTTGTTACAGGAATGCATAAAGATACACGCCCGAGGACGGTCGTACTTCAGGATGGCCGTGTCGGAGAGTCTATAAAATACCCGGTTGGATTGAGGTGCAATGGAGGGTATATCGAGAAACTCCCACTTGTTTGTGCAGTATAAAGTTCACTGTAGGTGCCGTGCGCGAGAGATTCCGCTTAAGTCATTCAACGAGTGTGGTCATTCGACTAGTGCTAAGATAGTGTCGTGGTTCTGTTCGTTGTTGTAATTCTTCTAGTGCAGGCAAGGAGAATTGGTGTTGCTGAGAGGCTGCCCAGTGTTACATTGAGATAAGTAGTGTTGCTGTTGGTTTACATATTTTGGTGTTATCATGTAATTACGTACCTCACGTTACACTGGTGTGTGATTGTGGCAGAGACGTGTTACGGTGTGGTCGAACTGTAATTTCACTATACTAAATGTATAGTGCGTTACGTTGTCTTATTACTGATAATGATAAATTGCGTAAGCAAGAGAGCAAGTTGAACATCCGCTCTCACACTTTTATTATTTTTAACAGTTAACGCTATCCTGATGTATTTCCGAGATCACAAGTGGGATCTCCTGTTGTCATTTCCGATAAGCCAATATCCATTGTATTTAACGTACATATGTTTGTCTGTAAATATCTGCACGAGTAATTTTTGTTTCAAGGACTCAATATATAATATAAAAAGAAAAAATCTTACTTGCAATGTGTCAATTAAATACACACCAAAACTGTACATCTCCATATACTTATTTGGATTCATATTTATATTTATTGTTCCTGAAATGTTTAAAAATCCAGTAAACATTAAGAATCCCTTTACATTTCACCCATACAATAAAATAAGTATTATAAAATACCTTTTTTGTCACTGATTTTCATTAGAACCTCAGATAGCTTGGTTGCAGCATCAACTATATCGCAGTCCATATGAAATTTCATTTTAATACATTGCGTCGCTTCAAACAGAGTCCACGGTGGTGACAATGAATTAGGAAAACATAAGAGATCTTTTTGTAAAATTTGTGTTAAAACTTCTTCCATTATTTGAATAAACCGCGAGACCCATTCATCGTATCTTGTTTTTAAATTTTCTTCCATAGCTTGATTAGTTATTTCAAACATAACATTTCTACAATTTCCCGTTTCTTTGTTTAAACAAGAAATGGATATATCTTCTTGTGAGTTTTTAGCTAATTCGTTTTCAGAATCATTATTACTGTTAGTATTGGATATGATTCCGGATGTCGAAGTTTCTTCTATTACTACATTATCAACAAAGCTATGGTGGTTACTGACCGAAACTTGAGATTCACTATTACTAGATACGTGACCAGGCGACTGTTTTTCTAATTCAGAATTTTCGCCCTGTTTTAATCTCTTATTAAATACTGTACTATAAGATTCATGAGATATGTTCATTTCTTGTTCACGAGGGACCTTTAAACTATCAAGGAGAGATCTACGTCTCTTTCTACGCCATTTAAAATTTGTCTTTTCTGTGATATCATCTGCATTTTTAGACGACTGGTTTGATGTTGTATGATTCAGTTTAATTTCTTTTCCGTTTGAAGGCCCATCATTATCTAATTTATCTTGTCTATCGTCTGAATTTGCAGAATTTGTTACTGATATAGTCTGATTGCAACTTTGGGTATTAGCAGTCTGAGAGGACTGATCGAAAAAAATATCAGTTTGGACTCCGACATTAACCATAGTTCTTACTTCTGTTAAATTGTCTGTATAAACGCCTACACTTATAGCTTCCGTTTTCCTTTTTTCCGGATTTGTTTCTGTGATTTCAATCGGTGTTAATTCTATTTCCTGAGATTTAGTTACATTTTCGTTTTTTGTATAAGTTTGGTTATTTGGTATTGTTATCTTAATGAGAGGTTCATTTGATAACAGTGTTGCACTGGGCCGTGTGTTATCTTCTACACTAGTATTTAAAAACGCTTTTATTTCATTTACAGTAAACATTGGTATGCGTATTGCTTTTTCATGATTTTGAAGTTCTTTATCATTGCATAAAAGAACCTGAAGTAAATAGATGAATGCATTAAAATATTTATTAAAAATAAAAGTAATGTTATAATCTTTATAAAAACTGTATTACTTACAATATGATTATTTTCATCTATCAATTTCAAGCAACAGTCTAAAATATAAGATTTTCCGGTATTATTTGCCATCAAGGGATCCTTTGCTAAAAGTGAATTAAATTAGTAAAATTATATTCAATGTGTCACTGAAGACTGCAAGGATCGAAACAGAGTTGCTCGCGTAGTTTGAAATTAACAACGGACGCTTAGCTCCTGGGTTACCACACCTATATTTATTATGTGCTGATTTACCACAAGTTCGGAAAACTCCATATGGAAATCTGCATGTCTAAAAATTCTTTGAAATACTAACTATATTTCAGCGACAATTGATGTCCACCGACATGCACAAAACATGCGGCAGACTAATTGCTGCAAGCCTGCACCCAGCAGTGAGACTCTGAGCTCAGTAAATAAGTGATAACAGTTATTCTTACTGTCTTAACTTAGTTTAATAAGTGCATGAATACTAAATTACATAACCAAATAGGATCTACATTTATTTATTTATTTGTTATGAACACTCACCAATGCTAGCTAAACCAGCTCTAATGTTTTGCGACAGAAAGGACATGGCACGTCGAGCGTGATTCATTTCACGTATACTTGAACTTCTACTGGCATTTCGAATTTCTGTTATAACATGTTCAGGCACCTTAAGACGACATTCTTTATCTAAAATAAAATCTTAAATTTAGTAGTTTTAGATTAGCAGCAGTTTAGATAGTAATGTAACAAGTAACGAGACTAATTGGACGTAGTTATACAAAAACGTTCAAACCCACAAGTCATTCAAAAATGAGTTAAATATACAGATCTACTTCGCAAAGATGTCAAAATAAGTACATCTGTATATTTATCTCATTTTTGATAGTCACTCCCATGACTGATTTGACATTGGCAGATATATTTTAAGAGAAGCCAGAAAGTAAAGAACTCATTTTTGAATGACTTGGTGGTAGAGATATGCTGCAGCTATATTAGTAGTATAGTTATAGCACGAATGGGTCGGCTCGACAGGGGAAGGACCACGCTCTCACGGAATACCAACGTGAAATAGCAGCTTAACACTGCTGTGTTTCGTATGGTGAGTGTAGAGAACCAGAGACCCTTTTTACTGGAAAAGAGGGATTCCATCTTAGTCCTCACGGGTGACAACGCATCTGCATTTTGATTCGCAAACGAGGATAAATGTAGATGTTTATGGGCCACAGCGACCACTTACCATCAGGTGGACTGTGTGCTCGTTTGTCACCCTATACTATAAAAAAAATGTCATTAGCACCCCACGAAAATTATAATAGACCTATGTATAACGTTTTAACTAAATATTCAATTCACTGTTGGTGTACACCTTGTACAATCTATGCAACGTCTGTACAATTTGCCGAAGGTAATGTATGTAGTTTATGGTACTAAAGCCTTTCCGGGGACCTGCTTATCTTGGAGGCTGGAGGCTAGAAGTCAACAAGTCTGCGCTCTGCATACGAGACGATTCGTAATGACTCTCGAAACCAGCACGTTACCGGTTCAAAATGTAAATGTGTCTGTAATTCTTCAATAATGTGTTATCGCCTTTCTTGAAGAATAAGACTACCGCATTTCGGCTCCACACCTATAAAGTAGTACCACTGTGGCCGGTGGAAGGAAAAGGGGGATTCCATCTTAGTCCTCACGGGTGACAACGCATCTGCATTTTGATTCGCAAACGAGGATAGATGTAGATGTCTATGGGCCACAGCAACCACTTACCATCAGGTCGACTGTGTGCTCGTTTGTCACCCTATCCTATTAAAAAAATACTTGTGGGTAGGACCGTTTTTGTATAATAACTACGTCCAATTGTTTTATGACTTCTTGCAATTTATTTTATTTAAAAAAAATAAGAGCTAGAATAATAATCTTCTTGTTGTAATTTGACATAGTTGTACCTGCAAAGTAGAAGTTAAATGATAATTGTAATAGATTGTGGAAGACCACTCAAAATATAAAAGATTAACACTATGTTGCTATACAATGTTTAATTTTTTTTTTTATTAAAAACTTTACCCCCCACACAGGAGAGAATCCTATTCTCTCCTCTGTGAAGAAGTCTACCCTTAAAAAAAATAACGATAAAAACAAGCATGCAGTTGCAGTCTATTTTACAGCATAGAAACACGTGTTCAGTGCGGGAACGAACCATCGGTTCCTGCAGTGCCGTAGCCAAACACTTAGCCACTATGTTATGTATATAGTCGTCATGTATTTTTTATTTAATTAATTACTAGTATAATTGTGCATTCTTTATTTTATCTTTTTTATACATATTTTTGTACCTAATAATTGTAGAGATATATAAATAAATAGCTGTGTGTAAAATACATTGATTTCTTATCCTCATCGGCATTATTACTCAATCCCCACGTAACAACTTTTATTTCTCATAAAACATTCAATATAGAGATCTAACTTTTATTATATAAAAAATCGATAAACAATACAAATGTATTAAAAAAAAATTGTTCAAGGATAGACAATTCGCTATGTTGTCAGCACTGTTTGTCAAAAATTAAATGTAATTTCTTGAGGATGGTTGAGTAGCTTGGCGCAGTTTCATACATTTACTTTTAATAAGGAATTCGTTAGAATTATAAAAAGAAAATAATGTGAATAAAATATGTAAGATACTTGTGTGATAATTCACAAACTTCTTTTGTACATGGGCATTTTATTTGTGTCTGCTGAGCTATGTATGAGCTATATACATTGGCAAACAATGAAAACCACCATTAAAAAAATGTAATTTGACCAAAAATATTAATATTTTTTATATATAACCACATGAGTAAAGAAACCATACCATACAGAGGCAAAGCTTCATACAACCGCGCTATGATAATTATACTACTGCGCACTGGCGGCTCGTTATGTACAGAGAGGAAACTGCTCTAAACCAAATGAAATATGAAAAAGTGTAAATATGGTTTACTGTTTGTATGAACAATAATAGAACAAATAAAAATATATCATTTTTTAACTATCCCAAAGACTCCACTAGGTAAGTAGTAACTAAACTATAATTTATTATTTTAAATGTTAGATATTAGATAAATAATAACTTAGATACCTCATACATATACCTGAACATTATAATAAAACGTAAAAGTATCTAATTACTACCTATAAGTGATTGAATAGTTATTTTTATAATGTTTAAAATTGAATATTTACATTTATAATTTAAAAATATAGGGTCATCTTTTTTATTATAATTTCAGACGACAAAGAGTGATTTAACCCTTGTTAGATTACAAAGTTTAGGTTTTTTTTAATTTAATTTTGTTTTTATTAAATGGGCATGGGCGAATGGGCTCTTAAAAATTAAATCGGACCAAAAATTAATATTAAAAAACTGAAGGTAGCTGGGCTAACTATGACAGCAGGACGTCAAACACCTCAGTCCCCCGTGACCACGGGTGCTGGAAAGCACCCGAAACGTCGGGAATATAAAAAAATAGATTAATATACGCGATAAAATCCGTAAAATTAGTTTTATTTAAAAATTAAATATTACAAAAAAATATGAAACAATACTACCTACCAGAATCCAACAAAATTTTTATAAACCTATGGTGATTTAGTAAAACATTTGTATCAGTTACAATATACCATAAATCCTCATCAATATTGTGTTTTGCAATATTTTTAAGCCCTGATACATTAAATTTTATTTGGGAGCTTATGTCATCAGCATCTTCCTGAAACATAAAAATAAATTAATGAAATTAGGTATCATGTTTAGGGCTTGAAGTATTTTCTGACTTAGCTCACTTTCATCATTCATCATTACAGCCCTTCACAAGTCCACTGCTGAATATAGGCCTCCCCCAAGGAATGCCACAAAGCACGGTCCAGAGCCACCTGCGACCATTGATTTCCTGCATGTCTTACCAGGTCGTCACTCCATCTAGTGCACAACCTACACTTCCCTGCCAGTATGAGGCTGCCTGTCGAGAACCTTTCTTCTCCATCGGTTGTTGGTTCTTGGTGCTATATGGCCGGCCCATTGCCACTTCAGCTTATTAATCTGTGGGGGCTATGAAGGCTACTCTGGTTCTACTATAGATATCCTCATTTTTAAGTCTACCACGCAGAGAAACCCCGAGCATAGTCCTCTCCACAATTTGCTGAGCGACCTTGAGCTACCTCATACGGATAGCAGTGAAGGACCACGTCTCAGATCCATAGGTCATCCCTGGCAACACGCACTGGTTGTACAATCTAGTTTTAAGGTATGCCGACGAGAAGATACATCTTTAATTATTTTTTTTACAGGGCTCACTATATTGAAATGTTTATACATTATCAGTAGGCTCTGATATATTGAATTACATTCATGATTAAAATTAAGTATGTGGACGACCCACCTTCGCTTGATATGGGAAAATAACTTTTATCTAATGATTAAAAATGAACTCTTACATATATTAAAAATGAACTTACTTGTAAATCATCAGACTTTTCCTTCTCACATGTTTCTGTATCAGAATTTTGAGGGACACCATGGAGTAAACTGGTATCTATAATAAATATATTATAATAATAATATATTTCTACTGTAATGTAAGAATCTTTTCTGGCTAGGCCTATTTCTCTCTTCCTCTCACTCTCTTCTACGTGTGCATATATACTAGGGATGTTACAGAAGTGGTTATATCTGAACCGAATTCGAAAGCGGAGTTTTTAAATTTTGTTTATCAAAACCGGAACTGGAATTGGAGGTGGAGGCAGAAGAGATGTGTTAAGGGCAGGTATATTGCACTGTATTTTTCTTTTTAGTTTCAAATTTTTTGAATTCTTCGAATGCACAGACTTTAAATGACTTTTTAACGAAATAGTTGTACCTCCCTTTCGTGAATATATCTTCTCACACAGTTTACACTTTGCCGTATTCTCAGAAACTTCATTGAAATAATTCCAAATGGCACTTGATTTTGGCTCCATTGTCCAATTCAAATAAATTCGTTACACCTCAAATAAAATGCTACTAAAACTAATTAAAAACTTGGATAAGTATAAATGAAGGGTGAATGCATAACATGCCAAATTAATAGGGTTGTTATAAACTAATTTGCTTAATTCTGCGTAAAGAAAGAAAATGATGTATCCTGCCCAGTTTTAAGGGGACCTCCCACCCTCCCTCAATCAGGCGCACTATACCCGTTGCCGTCAATTCCAGCACTACCATCGCCAGCACCACCACACTAGGCACAACACACCATTCCCGAAAATACGTTATTTTTTGAACTTTCGTTATTGGAATCGAACCTCCATAACATCTCTAGTATATACTATTTATATAGCAGTGTGAAATAGCAGCTTGATGCTGCTGTTATGTTTTAGTGAGTATAGAGAACCTTAGACCCTTTTTACTGGTATTGAGACATTCCATCTTAGTTCTCTGGGGTGACATCACATCTGCAATTAGACTCTTAATGGAGGATAGATGTAGATGTCTATGGGCTACAGCAACCACAAGGCACACTATTGATAGACTGAGTGCTACTTTGTCACCCTTATACTATAACGCTGGTACTGCTACATTCCTGCCTTAAGAGTATAGAGCCAGTATAATTACAGGCAAGTCATTCAATCTTAGTCCTCAGAGATGACAGCTGTGTACATGGACACATAGTAGCCACTCACCATCAGGTGAACTGTAATTTCACTAGTCACTTCAGTTTTACAAAAAAAATAACATTTTATTCTATTTTATACTTACTATTGCTAGAAGAGTTTCTTCGCCTTTTGGTTGATAGTAATTGCCTTAAATCATTTTTGAAGTTAGGTGTATTATAATGAAGGAAATTTCTTGTACCTGTTTTATTAAACGTCCGTGCATTAAATTTTCTAATTCCTGTCTTTGAAGACTTATAACTGTTATCAGTAATCGTCTGATTTTTAAAACGCTTGTTTAATGGCACTGAAGTTGACTGTACATATCTGATTTCATTTCCACCTACTTTATTAGGCATGTTAATTATTGTAGATGGAGCCTGACTTAACAAGGGAGGAATGGTATTTGCAAGAAGAAGTTGTTGAGCTACAGGAATATTCCATATATTAGGATTCAGTCCTGATGCAATAGGAATTCCTAAACCAACATTGTTCATAGGATTTGAATGATTACAAGAACACTGAACTCCAGTAAAGGGTGGAATTAAATGTTGCTGCTTTGATTGATTACTTGATATTGGATTATTATAAATGTTTTGTTTAGCAGCATTGGGCATATTGTTTGCACATTTATTAAATGAATGAATAACATTAGACTGATCATGTGGAGGATCACTTGGTTCTGGATAGCCTTCAATCCGGACTCCGGTATTTTCAATAATTTTAGTAGTATTTTTAGCTTTTTCAATCTGCAATAAATGAAATTTAATTATTTCTTTTTTAATAAGAAGAGAGTAAGACGAAACAAGCGATATAGAGGAACGCACATAGCCAAAACGAAGTATTTTCTTCTTACCTCAGCTTCGCTTAGATTCCATGCTGCTTCTCCAGTCAATGTGTTGAAGTAATATATTCGCCCGGGATGAGATTTGGATCTACATACAACCCAAGAATTTCCCACAGAAGTGACACTTTCGTTAAAACAGTTCTTTCGCATTTTGGCGAATAAGATAAATTTTTAATTTATTTCATTTCATATATAAATAAAATATAACGAAAATAAAAAAAAACAGCTTTTTGTGAAGCACCGGAAAGGTTCCTCAGTTGCACTGCGCTGCACAAAAATTTATGTTGATAGCGGCAAAGATAAAGCAAATGTGTTTCTGATCTTGAATAATTTCTTTAACACTATTACAACAATTATTAAATGAATATTAAAAACTATCATACGTTCACGGCATACGATACGATAGCATTATCTATGGCACAGAGTACTTTTTATAAACTGGAAATCTATGGATAGCAATAATATCTTTTTTTTTTTTTGGAGTTTATGGCCTGGTATCTAGACCTTTAGGCCAAGTCTTAAGTATTTTTATTCGGTTTATTGTAATTTCCCCACTCCTTCATAGTATACTGCTTCACAATATGTTGATGCGTCACATTGTGCAGTTCTTGGGAGATTTTGGCGGCAACTTGATCCAACAGACAGCTGATAGTTGGCGATGGTATCTAAAGGTGCCTATGCAAACAAACAGCTTATCTTGAGAATCCATCACCATCAGAGCACTTGTTTCACTGTTTCCACTAATAGTTCACATGCGTAGACACTTAATACACAAAATCGCAACACTTTTACATATCAAAGTCCACTTCAAACCATTATTTAAACAATAATACAGGAGTAGCAAACCGCCGCCGGTCAATTTCCCGCCAAAACTCCTAGCAATAATATCCAAAAAACTATAATATTAGAGATGGATATTATCTCAGGAAAGATAGATACAAAAGATATGAATCAATCCGTTTCCATCAATCACTCTTTATATCCATCCGCATCCGAATGTATCACTATATCAGTGTATCTTTACAACTTATTCACTCAAGGCATCTTTTAACTTTTTATATCTAACATCTGTGTCGCACATTGCGCACACTGCTTTCTATTACACCTCGGCCGGCGTGGCCGGCCATTCCTGGTAGATTTCGAAGTCCATAGTACAGACGTTTCTTTCGCAGCTCACTATTTAGAATATTCTGTCGTGCTTTGGCAACACAGAGAGAGTAAGTTGTTTGACCATTATAAGCTGTAATACGTTGGCACAAAAAGGTAAATTGATAACTCTATGACTGGTGCATAGGGCTTAAAGTCATTAAGCGGTTCGTTAACATTTAAGTATTATACTGGTTTAAACTGTACCTATATGTACTTTGCCTATGATTTTTTTTAGTAAACAATGCAAACTAATTTCGGTTATAAAACCATCGTTTTTAAGAAAGTTTTATAACCGAAGTAGTAGTCGTATATATTCATAAAAAAACGGCGAAATGCGAGTCGGATTCACGCACCCAGGGTTCCGAACAAATCCGTAGGTATATTAGTTTAAAATTATTAAAAATACTCTACCTATGTTATTTACGTTAATCATTTATTTAATTATTATTTTAAACTAAAAATTTAAGTAAATTTTTCAAATAAGTGCCTATTAATATTTATCAATCATAATAATAATAGCGCTCGCTGTAAGTTTCACAGTACGCGAGCAACCCTGGTTCGATCCCCGCCGCGCCGGCATCAATGAAATTGTTAATTGCAATTTTAAGTGCTGATTTACCACGTGTTCGGCGATGAAGGAAAACATCGTGAAGAAACTTGCATGTCTGAGAAATAAGAAAACTTTAATTTTTTGATCATAACAAATAGATACCTAGAAAGAAACAGCAGCCAAATATATCAGAAAGATACACAATGTTACGACCAATCAAAATGCAAACAGTTCTATAGGTCTTATATATAGGTCGATAGGTATCTATCACTCTTACTGATAGGATTGAGTTGAACGAAGCGAGCTACGCTGAGTGAGCAACGCAATGCGATGCGGGTCATGAACGCGAGCTTGATCTACTGATACATAAGGATATAAAGATATAAAAGAGTGATACATATCCTAGTGATCAAAAGATACATATCAATCTTTTCTTTTAAGTGATACACATTGCCCATGTCTATATAATATCTACCTATTGTATTTGCGTTATAGCATGGTGCGGGTGACAGCTGACAGCTTACACCACAGAACACTAATACCCACTTTTGGCGTGTCTAGAGATGAAATATTGTTAAATCGATTTAAAAAAAAGGCGATTAACGACACACAAAGCAAAGCAAAAGTTGTCGATTAGCTATCGATATAATAATAAAAACCGAAACATGTATTTTTTTATAAACTACAATGCATGTAAAATTAAGTTAAAATTTATTACAAATTATGACATAATATTTACATAATAGCTGTTGCCGGACCTCGCCCGCATGGTATTTATTGCGATTGAATTTCATGAGTTTTAATTTTTTTGCGCGGAATCCTAATTTTTTTTCTAAGATAAAATAACTCCTTATAACATCAGCTATCTGTCAGTGCCATCTATAAGCCGGAATAAACAGACAGTAAGACAAACATTTTAAAAATTGTTTTTGTCATATATATACTTTCAAATGTATTTAGTAAAAGGCTATTATTTTGATATTGCAAACAGACACTTCAATATATAGATTATACTATGTATTAATTTGAACGCTACGAGTACCAGCGCCTTTTACTATATGTGTATTAGTTTTGCCAGTTCCAATGTGCCAAATATCGGAACGTAAGGCAAAAATAATCGAAAAATTTAATGAAATAAAAATAAAAAATAGGTTTTTTGTAGTAATTTTGGTCGCCATGAGTTATGATAGTCTATTTGACACAATGCTTAATTTACTTTATAATAATTTTTTTGCCTGAGCTGACAAACGAATAATTTATTGCCAAGGCTTCGGAAACACTGCATAATCGTCTATGTGAGTTTTGTTTCCGTAAATCAGAATTTGTCGAACGATTAGTTCCAATTCCAATACATATTTACGCGTTTTATAAAAAACACGTAAATTAGATTTATTTCAAAACTGATTTTTAATAGTCTGTGGTTGTTCGTTATGGCATGGTGTAGAGAGAGAGAATAAACTAACTTACACCTTTAATAACTTAATAAAATAAGTAAATTGGTTGTTTGGATAAATAGATCGGTTTTTAATTAAAGAAATAACTACAGTCTAAGCACTGTTTATATTATTTAACACAATAAACTGCTGCGTGTAAATTCAAATATATACACGTTTACAAATTTTTTACGTGGTAGAATCATGCTTATGGTTGCAGCACTAGCACAAATGGGTTAGCTCGACCGCCGGGAAAGGACCTTGCTCCTTCTTACTCTCAGAGGTGACAGCGCATCTGCATTTTGGTTGTTAATCGAGAATAGATGTAGATGTGTGTTCATTTGTCACCGTTCTATTGCATTAAAAATAACTTCAAATTTCATTTTGGCATTTGGCACAATTTATTAACTTGTACATACTCCCTCTACGTGGCATTGCATAGCTTAGCGTGGCATATCGCTATCAAAAGTGGGCGGCCCACCCATGAAGTACAACAATATCTGTTTAACAGTTTATCTATAAAAATATGCAACTTCATAGGCATGAGCTGTCACCCGCACCATGCTATAACGCAAAGACTAGTTTGTGGAAAAACTCAGATTTCAGACATATTTTTTAAACTAGCTTTATGGCTCGGGAAGGGCTGTAACTCGAGTTGCGCTTAACTCGAGTTGGATCTGCCTAACATGAATTTGGACTGCTGTACATGAGCGCATCAAGTGAGCCAGCAAAGAGTAAGCGCGCGATTCGTTCGTTGTGTGCGCGCGCTTTGATTTTCAAAGAGTATTTAGCTACAACCAAAACAATTTGTTATGGTATATGGTCACTTTCTTATGACTCAAAAACTACAGCCTTGTTAGCATGGGCCATCCATGCTAACAAGGCTTCTGTGATGCGATACCTTTTCATCAGTGAATCATATAATAAAGGGTCAAAAGAGCACTGCTTTATCAGAGCCATTTTGACAGTTGACATTAATCTCAATATTTTAGTCGATCTTAGTATAGTGTAGTGTAGTTAAATAGGGCGGCAAAGCTTAATGTGACCATATTACCCTTACGTACCTTAATATTGTTTCGTGAAGACTGGTATATAACTAGTTTTGTTGTTAAATACAGGTAGTTACTATAACTAAGATTAAAACCAAAATACATAAGTATCTGATACATACTTAATATACCTTTTTATTTCAATCCTACATAATAAGTTTGGTAATATAGTTATCCCAACCAACCATAGAACTAAATAGAAAAACAATTTTATAAAAAAGTAATTTGTATCAAATCATTTACTCATTTTCGCACTGCTAACTCGATTTTAAACTCGAGTTGCGTGAATTTCAACTAGAATTAACTCGAATCGTAATTATTTTTCCGAGTTGGCACATCGATAGCTCTGGGTTCTAGTCTTTCTGAACCTGAAATTACAATGAATAATTATTCTTCATAGTACACACTGATTCATGCCTCCTCTACACTACTCGCGAAATAACTTTGACGAAGTGCTCGTTGAATTCGATCGCAGTCCGAAGAACGTGACTACACACTCGTGCTATACTTCGCGAAGAGCTCACCAGTCATCATATGATAGTGAAAAATTTAGACCAGTGGTGGATTATCCTTAAGGCAAACTAAGCACGTTCCTAGAGGCGCAAGGTTAAAAAGGCACGCGTGGAAGTTTTTAAATAGAAAAAAAATCGTCGTATATGAATACTCCTAAATCGCCCTTACTCTCTCATCACATTTTTCATTTATGCCCCCCTGTTAATGAAATTCGTATCCTAATTATTTTGCAATTATTAAAGTATATTAAAAAATTATAATATAGTTTATTTGCAAAATGAGTACCTATATTTAATTTATAATAGATATAATATGGCCCCTAGAGGGACGCCGATGAGGTGCTAGGCTAGCCTAGGGCGCAGTCGACATTTAATCCGCCTCTGCCTCCGGACTTGATGATTAGTGACCTGAAAGTGTACTTCGTTGAATGCTACTGGAACTCCTCGAAGAGTAGAA